AATCATGGCAGAGAATCTTGGCGACCTGCTTCCAGGACCCAGTGTGTCTGGCTCATCCTCGTGGGCATCTACTTCCTTAGAAACTGGCAGGCACTGTCTCAGGTCCTGAAATCTTCCCTGTAAATCTGTGCCAGGCCCACGCCAACCTGGACTCTGACGAGGGAGGGTCAACAGGACAGGTGCACACCCCCCCACCCCAGGACCCCCAGCTCGTGCACAGCCTGCCCCGAGCTCTTAGATGTCATCTCCAGGATGGAGATGGACTTGTATGAGCTACGACTGTCCTTTCTCAGCGTGGGTGTTTCACTGTTTTTTCTTTTAAAACAGTGGGTCTTACTGCTCATCCACTAGCATTTCTACTCCAGCATTACTGTTTTTATATTCAGATTTTATTTAAAATATTTCTTTATATTATGGACAGTGGAAGGGAGGGAGAATGGTAGAGAAACATTGATTGGATGCCTCTTGCATGTGCCCCATCCGGGGACTGAACCCATAAACTAGGCATGTGACCTGACCAGGGATTGAATAAGTGCCTTTTTCCTTTGCAGGACCATCCCCAAACAACAGTCACAATGGTTGGGGCAATATACTGGGTTATCTTTCAAATTGCTCTTGGCCATTGGGTTCTTCTAGGACAATCACTGGATATTCAACACTTAAACAATTGGTTCAGACCCAATTAACTAGTTTACAGTTAAGTCAATTCATCCTTTCATTGTACTGTTTCAAGACAACTTAAAAAATTAAAGCTTTACTGTACCAGGAATCCTCTGGGAGAGGGTAATTAATTTATCAGAATGCATCTGCATTGTTGCTTTCTCAATTATTATCCACTTAAACATTTTTTTTTCTAAAATGTAAGACAAATTTAGAACATGAAGGTAAAGTAGCAGTTACAGTTTCTCATAAAATAGCCGATAGTAGATTAAGAGTTAGTTTTAGTCACAGATAATGCAAATGTGCCAGAGAGAGTAATGCTAATTCACCTTAGTCATAGTTGTACGGTTTTTTTTTACTTCAAATGAGAGCACATATGATACTCGGTCTTTTCAGCACACCGCCTCCCACCCCCCACCCCTGGATCTGATGAAAGAATGCCCCTGAGATTGACTCTTAGATAATTAGACCCTGAGTGACCAATCTGAGGATTGTAGGGAGGAGGGGAAGGGGTGTTTGGAGTGGGACACTGGCTCTGCTCCTAATTACAAAATAGAAGACAAACAGGATGTTGATTCACGTGTAAAACTCTCCAGCCCTGGCCTCCTAGTTAAGGTTCCTGAAAGCACACCTGGCAGATAATCCTAGGGCTGAAGCCAAGAGTTGGCCTGGTGGAAGGTTTCCTGCTGGGCATGTCACTAGTGTTGACTGAGCACCTGGGCTTGCAGAAGGTGGTGCTTGGATAGGGGTTGGGTGGGGCGATCGAAAGGGGAGGAGTTCCAGGAAGACCTGGAACCTTTCAGGAACCTGATGGGTTTGGAGTTCACCGGGAGAATGCTTGTGTGGCTTGCTGCTAAATGCAGAATATCTGGTGGGGAGCTCAGCCAGGGGAAGCTGAGCAGGGGAGGTGGAGTTACAGGACATGGACATTGAGTGTTTTGAAGAAGTCAACAGACAGGTTGTTGGGGAGGATGGGAAACGGTTTCAAATGGTCCCCTCTCCCCTTCAGTCTTCACACTCCCTGTCTCAGGACTGAGCCTGAGACCCACTGCCATGTCCCAAGCCTCCAAACTCTTGCCCTCTTGTCTCAAGTTCTGACTCTGGGCCCATTGCTCCCATGAAGTTCTCTTTGCAGACAGTGCAAGTGTGAATTGTCTTTTCCTGCATGGGGGCTGGGTCTGAGTCTGTGTCCCTCATTTCAGCTGTCCTGGGTCATTTTCTCTGCCATGTTCCCTTAGGGGCCGGCAAGCTGCAGTACTCCTTCCCGGAAGTGTTTCCTAAATCCTTGACGTGTGACTCATTTTGGTTCTGTCTCTGTACTCTGTGGTACCTGGCCCACAGGTATTGTTGAACAGGTTAGACTTTGTTTAGAGCTGAATCAGCCCTTGTGTCAGTGTGGAGAAGCTGTAGGAGTTTCAGAGCAACAGGAAGTGCTACTTGGTGGGTAACCACTCAGATGAAGTAGGATTTGAGGGGGGTTTGGTCTCTGCCACTGAGCCAGGCCTGGAGAAAAGTGTGGGTTGCCCATTGGCTTTCGTCCTCTGACAGGGCTGGTTTCCTGCCTTTGGCATTGCAGAGTCATGGCGGCAGATGGGTCTTTGAGGAGCGGGGCCAGCGGGGTGCTTCTGCTGACGGGCCCCTTGCAGTTTGTTGCTCGTGCTCACCGCAGGTGGAGTTGGTGTTGGCAAGTCTCGGGACTGGAAAGGCAGTGAAAGGAATTTTCTAGACACGGCTAAAGGGCTAAGTGACGGGGGAGTGGGGGCGGAAGTATGAAATTTTAAGCCCCTTGGCAAGAGGAGTGGGGGTTATTTTGAGTGGAAACGGCACATTGTGTTTGGTGCAATGAGGTCAGAGGTGAAGGGCCGACTTGCCGAACTGCTGCGAGTGTCTCGTGCGCCCACGAGAGCCGCGCCAGCCTGTCTGGGGCCACGAGTGGGTGTTAGTTCACACTTTGCTTGAGGATGTGGCTCTGGGTATGTTCTTAGCGCCGACCACACATCACGGTTTGTTCAGGACCCGAAGAAACGGTCCCCTTGCCTGCTGGGCTCCAACCCTTTCCTCCCCCTAATACAGCAGTGCTTGCTGCCAGTGAATGCCGGGGTCACTCCTCACAAGGTGCCTATCTCGAAGGCTCCTGGGACCGAGCCTGCCCGAGAGTCCACTCGGGAAAGTCCTAAGGAAGAGTGAGAAGAGCTTGCTTCAGGGCATCAGCCCCCCAGGCCATCAGCTGTCCCACCCTCAGTCCTCTGAGGGTGGCCCTGGAGGAAGTGGTGTCAGCTGCACAGCAGTTCCTCTTTCTGCAGAATGCACACACGCCCTCCTGCTGCTCTCCTCCAGCTGCTCTCCTCCAGCAGGACAGTGACTGGGCTTGGTTTAGAGCGGGAGTCGGAATACTGGGATCTGGCTGATTTTGCAAAGACAGTTGTAGGGGACACAGATAACCACCTGTGCCAGGGTGTCAGTGGCTGCTTTCACCTGTGAGTGGGTGCTCACGGCTCTTTCCCAGGGACTCTCCAGGCGAGCGGTCCCTGCGCTAGCAGTCTTTCAAGTCCTCTAAAGAGCTGATGCTTGGTGCCAAGAGAGGTCCGTGTGGCCAGGGTGCAGGCAGGCCACCTGGGGCACCGGTGCTCTTACCAGGCCTTAACTGGGTAGCGCTCCCCACACTACAGAGCACCCAGAGCACTCCAGTCTGGAGTTGGTGGGATGTGGTTATTGGGTGGCTGGGAGTATTTTCCCAGTTGGCACTCTGGGCCTGACTTTGACTCTGCCCACTGCTAACCTGGCTGTGTGCCTCTCTGAGTCAGGGGGCACTGTGAGCCGTCAGGAAGATGGTGGATGGAACACCTGTCCCGCCCAGTGCTTGGTGCTGGGTTATTGCGGTCAATAGTGTTGGCTCTTAGCATCTTTATTTTACTTTTGTACTTTATTTTTAGAAAGGGTGTAGCAAGAATACTTTCCCCCGAGCCCCCATGGTGTGTTTTTTGCTATTGCTTCTCTCTTACACATACCCACCGGCTCATTGGCTCACTGAGACCTCGAGGTGCCTGCCCCCAGTCTTCCTCACTTCCCCGGCTGCCTCTTCCTGCTCCACTCCCAGCCCCCGGCTGCTCTTAGGACTGGCCCTGGAGGGCCAGCTCCCGCTGTGGGCACCAGAGCCTGTGCCCAGGGAGGGGCACAGCTTCCTGTGCAGCCACTGAAGTTTCTTGCAAGAAACTGGATGCCTTGGACCCAGAGAACACTGCCCCAGAGTCCACATGCCATCGTCGTGTGTGTGGGGACAGGCTCGAGGCACCTAAGTGAGGGACCTACCCACTGCCTCCCCAGGTCCTGTGGGCTCTGGTTTCCTCAGCATTGGGCCTCCGTGTCTTGGCCGGCTTTTGCAAGTCAGCTTGGGTGGATGGGGATGGTTCCAGAAGGCTGAGCTGGGCCAGCCACTCATTGTCCATAGGTGGTCTGAGGAAGGCTTTTCAAAACGGGAGATGGAGGGGCTCTGAGTGCCAGGCAGTCCTTGGGGAGAAGGCGATAGGGAGCAGAGGAGCCGAGGGCCTGCCCTTCAGCCCCAGAGCCCAGGTAGGGTGGCCTCTGCACTGATCTGCTGGCAGGGCTGGGCACAGGAAGAGAGCAGAGGCCACCTGGGAGACAGCTGGCGGTGAGGGCCCGGGTGCCTGGAGGAGCAGTGGGCCAGATCTGAACCCCTGGCCAGCATCCTGGCTGCAGTGCTCCGGTGCCCAGGGGGCTGGAGACTCTGGCCCTGAGGAGGCCTCACCCAAGGCTGGCAGAGCCCCACAGAGTGTGTGTGTGGCCGGGACCACTCTGGGCTCTTCCAGCTGAGGCCTCTGCCCTGGGGGTCATAGTTCTCGCCTGCTCCCATCTCTAGTTGACTTTCTAATGCCAGCAGTTTTATGGTAAACACCCACACCCACACCACCGAGATAAGCAGTGTGACATCTGTCCGGGATTTAGGTGCAGCTGTTCTGTCCCTGCAATGTCTCTAGGGAGGGACGTACCTGAGAAAACGGGGCAGATGGACGTCCCCCTTGCCTTGTGACGTGAATGTTCGTAACAGCTGTGACCTGGGCAGGTGGCCCTGGAGCTTGCAGCTTCACCACAGCATTCTGCTGACGGCCCGTCCCCGCTCGGGCGGCCTTCTCTAAGTGGGTCTGGTCCCGCCGAACAGACGGGCCCTGTGAAGCAGGTGCGCTAGGCCCTGTCCTGGTGGGACCCCCTCAGGTGAGTCTGAGGCACATTTGCTCCAGGAGAAGCCTCAGGAGCCTCCTGGGTGGGGGCCTCTGCTTCTGGTGAGCCTCCTTTGAGTCACATGTGTCATGCTAAATTCTGGATTTCTAAGCAACAATAGTGTTTTTTAATCATTTTTACTTGAGCTTTATTGTATTTCTCCCATTACCATTTAGTCCCCTTATACCCCCCTCCCCGCAGCAATCAGCACATTGTTGTCTATGCGTCCTCCTTCCTTTTCGATGAATCCCTCCACCCCGTAACCTCCACCGTCCCATAAGCTGTCACCTGCTCTCCGTCTGTGAGTCCGTCCCTGTTTGGCTAAGCTGCAGTCCTTTGAATGGTGTCCGTCAGGGGCTGAGGAGCCAGGCTGGCGGTCAGGGTCCTGATGTCTGAGGGGCTTTGTGTCCAGGGGAGGTGTCCAGGGGCAGCGCTGTGGGTCAGAATAGACCCAGAGCCCTGGCACATGCATCCCGTCTCTGCCCAGAGCCCTTGCCTTCCTTTTATTGTCCAAATGTGCTGGAAGGTTTCAGATCTCCGGGTGCACACGGAGCATCGAGGGGCCTCCTGTAGGTACAACTGACTCGGAACCAGCTGACAGTCCTGTACGTGTGCCGCACGGCTGTTGTGTGAGGTCACAGCGCCGCTCTGCGCGTCTGGTGCCTGGGACAAGCCTCTGGTGTCTGGGCCTCCGTGTCCTCCTCATTTGTAGTTGATGATGTCTGCCACCTCTTCCGGGTCGAAGACTTGAGAAACTGCAGAATACAGCAGAAGACAGGGCAGAGATGAAGGTTTTGTGTGCAAATTCAAAATAGATAATTTCAGAATAAAAAATGGGTGTTTCCAGTAACTTTGGCTGCAAACTTGTGTACACAAAAATCCTGGGCTTTTGCATGCAGATTTCAACGGGAGAAATTTGGCAGAGAGTGTGTCTCACATTTAACTCAGGAGGGATGCTTGGCCCTCTTAATTTCAAGTGTCCAGCGGCCATCCCTGTTCTGTTGCAACAAAGTATTGGTCTTGTCCATTTCCTAGGGATGGAAAGGAGCCAAGTGCATATGCCCTGTAATGTAAACCTAGGAGGCAGAGTGGGACCTGGCAACAATTATTTTGTTTGGAATCTTGCAGGAGAGCCTGACATTGTCAACCCCTATCCCTTGCCATTTTCAAGACCATGCAGTTTTGTCAAAGTGGCAGCCCTTAGGGACAAGTGGTCCCCAGTTTGTCCACGATGCTTGGCTGGGCAGTACATTCAATTCTGCCTTTGCTTGCTGCCTCCCAGTAAGGGCGGGTTTGACTGCTGGGCCTGCAGCGTGGGCAGGGAACCTCGGTCCGGGGGCAGAGTGGCCCGAGTGCCTTACTGGTCCTCAGAGCATCCCTGGGCAGGCTCAGAGGAATGGTGGGGCGGGGCTCACTCCGTGGTTCCCAGTCAGGGCTGTCTGCTCGTCCTGCCTCAGTTTTGGGAACCCAGGTCAGGGGTCTTCTGAGACAGCAGTGACTTGGGCTCTGCCCTGCCTTTGCCCACCCCATCCTCATGAGAAGTGAGCGCAGACACTGTGCTCCAGGCTGTGGCCAAGGCCTCATCTCTGTGTCCTGGTGGCTGGACGGGATTTCCACAAACACACCAGAAAATAGACAGGACCACTACTTTGCTGCCAACAGAACAGGGATGGCCACTGGAGACTTGAAATTAAGGGGGCTGGGTGTCCTGAGCTCAATGCAGGATAGAATCTCTCTGTCCAATTTCCTCAATGAAATCTAAACGCAAAGGCATAGGAATTTCTATGCACAAACATTTGCAATCAACACCCCTGTGTGCCCCTTGGGGTGGGATTCGGGCGTTCAGTCAGCCTGCCATCAGGAAGGCACCCTCCACTCTCCAGCGTGTGGACTGGAGGGGGCAGTGTGCTGGCCTCCATTAAATATTCAAGAGCCAAATCCAGCATTTATCTTTTTCATTTGAAAGAATGTTTTTTATTGATTTTAGAGAGAGGGGGGAAAGGAGAGAGAGAGAGCATTTATGTTTTTTTATGCCTTTAGGGTAGACATGAAGGCAGTGCTTCACAAGTAGGTCATATGCTAATCCACTGGGAAGTGGGGAAGGTCAAGAGAGGGAAATGATTTGTCCTGAATGCAGTTTTGTGGAGAATGTGGTCTTAATTATGGCTCTTCTACCAAAAGAAAGGAAAGGAGAACTGGAAGGGAGGAGGAAGGGGGGGGAGGGGAGGGGAGGGGAGGGGAGGGGGTATCCTATACTTCCCATTCTGCAAATAGAGCACTTGCTCATTATGTAAATTGGGAAAGGACAGCAAGAGGGAGGAAGAGAGATCCAGGAGTCTGGCCACCCAGCCAGTTTGTTTGTTTGTTTGTTTGTTTTAAACAAACTTTTATTGTCTAGAAATATATATTTAAAACATTCCCCATAAAGGGATGCTATTATCTCATTTCCCCATCTTCTTCCTCTCCAACACCCCCTGATACAAAGGACATTATTACACTTTATTTAAAGTTCACCCAGGTGTCCCGACTGCTCCAGCTATGTCCTCTGTCTATGTCTGCAAGCTGCAGGTCCATACAGCTTCCGCAGACAGCGGGCAGGCTGTGTACTCTGTTCCCCACTTAAATTTCACCACTACTGGCTTTCCCGTTGATCCACTGAGGAAAGGTTTGGGATTGAGGGGCAAAGTCCTTGCAACGAGGAGCAACTGCTGCAGGCTATGCCGCCAACCCAGCCCTCGTCCGAGAGAAACACTGGCCTGCAACCCAGGCCTGCGCCCTGACTGGGAATTGAACCCACGTCATTTCGATTTGCAGGCCGGCACTCAATCCACGGAGCCACAGCAGCCAGAGCTGGCCACTGTTAAGTCTTGGTCCACGTCCTTGCTGTCTGAGTGTGACCACCTCAAGTGTACATCATCAGGGTCTCCTCCTGGGGCTGATGCAGACTCGCGGAGTCAGGGAGTAACGTTAGCGCAGCCTGCCGACAGCTGTGCCTCACTCACGCCCCGGTCGCTAGTGTAGATGCCACCGAGACGGTCCTCTCTGTGCTGCGCACATGTGAGCCTGACTCCTGACTTGGGGGTTTTTGTGTTTCTGTGTTCTGTATTTTTCTTTATTTCCACCTGAGCAGCACAAGCACGTGAGGTGTGGAGGGGGCCGAGGCCTGGCACACGTGTCAGTCTCGGTCTGGTAGCTCGCCGGCAGCGATGCCCGAGGCTCCTGTCCCCGGCCCACCCTTGCCAGCGCTCCTCGACTCTGGAGCACGCTGCTCACGCTCGGACATGTGGCTCTGACAGAGTGCTGCTCACGCGCGTCGTCTACGTGACAGCCAGTCTGCCGTCCTCTGGGCTGCAGCTGGGCGTCAGGGCCTGCGGAGCTGCAGGGTCCTGGTGTAGGGGGCCCTGGCACTTCCTGCAGAGGTCAAATCTCCTTCTGGCAGTTGAGCGATGAGGGCACAGCTCCCACAGGCTGCTGCGTGTTGTGTCCTAACCCTGCCATCTCGGCCCTGTTTCTTAATGAGGCCATCCAATCACAACAGGTCCCCAGGAAGAATGAAGCTGGCGTGTGCTGACATGACTCCAGGGGAACTAACTGCTCATCAGTCAAAGCTGGACAGGCTGGCTTGTCATTGGCAGGGGATGGTGCGGCGGTTCACTCAAGGCCACTTGTTCTTTGGCATCTCCAGGGTCCCCTGTGAATCTGCAGCCCCGGGCCTGGGCAGGTGGGCCTCGAGGCAGGTCTGGGAAGTGGGCTCTGTGGTTTATCCCTCCTGGGAGGGAATGCTGTGGCCCCTGTTGCTGGGACCAGTGTGAAGGCAGCTTCTGGGCTGAGTGTGTTGCCCTCAGAGCCTGGTGATGCCTGGGCAGACCTGCGGCTGAGAGTTGTGCCACGTGGGAGACGCGCAGAATGACGAGGGTCCCTTCTGAAGCCCACTCTGGTTGCGCGTGTCCTCACGCAGGCCCGCCCAGCAGCAGGTGTGCCTGGAGTGACTGGCAGGTTCTGGAGGCCCCAGAGTGCTGGCCTGCGTTCCGGGAGTGTGGAAGCGTGCCCAGCTCTGGGCGGTCAGGGTTCCGCGTGTGTCTGAGCGCCCGGCCCCTGGGCACCTCTCTCTAGAGGTGGCCTTGGCCCAAGTTTTTAAAATCAATGTGTTTAGTCTCTCAGTGTAGCCTCTGCGAAAAACATTTTTCTTTTAAAAATAGAACAAGGATTCTAGTGTAAAATTCACATGGATTTTTTGGTGACTTATTCATTTATTTTTAGAGGGAGAAGGGAGGGAGAAAGAGAGGAAGAGAAACGTCAGTGAGTGGTTGTCTCTCACATGCCCCCGACTGGGGACCTGGCCCACAATCCAGCCATTGGCCCTGACTGGGAATCGAACAGGTGACCCTTCCCTTTGCAAGCCAGCACTCGAAACACTGAGCTCAGTAGCCAGGGCAAATTCACATGGATTTTTAAGGTAAGCCAAACAGGACCCTGCTTTATTTGAAGCTGCTGAGCCTCAGAAAGGGACATGCAGTGTCCCTTTAAGCCCTCCCCATTCGTGCCCTTCCCTGGATCATCCTCATGTTTAGAGCCTCACTCAGTGCAGCGCCCGCCCCCACGTGCCCTCCCCTCACTGTGCGCTGGTATTCCTCTGGACCTGGATGTCGCAGTTTGTTCTGGCTCACCTGCCTTCTTCCCTCTGTCCCATCCCGTTGTCCCTCCAAGCTTTTTAGATCTGGCTGACCTTTGTGTATCTCATGCTAATCGACATACTGTTGGCACTCAATAAATGTCCTTTTCTTGTTCTGCCAGGTCCCTGCTCCAAGTGCAATGCGTAGACTGTGGCTTGTGTGGCCCTGAGGCCAGTGTCCTACCTGACTAGCCTGGTCCTGAGGCCTCAGCACCTGGCGACAGAGGAGGCTTGTGGGATATTTCAGGGTGGAGATAAAGCTGTCTCATCTGATCTTTCCTCCCCGACCTTCTCCCAGCTGCCTGTGAGGTAGCAGCGAGCTGATAAATAATTCCTGAGCTTAGCGATGTGCTGACGTCACGGTTCAGCTCTCTTCACACACTGGGTCTAGTCGGCAGTGGGGCAGAGCCTTTTGGTTCCATGTCATGGTAGCACCATTGCTTGCTCCAGACCTCGGCCCCTTAAAAGGAAATGGTATCTCTTTTCACCAGTACGGTGGCTGCTAAAGCGACATTTGTCCACAAGCTGGTCTGTGGGCTCTTTTGCCTTGCCTGAAGAACAAAATGAGGACATGGGGCTGAAAAGACGGGGCCTGGGGGACAGTGTGTGGCCAGAACTTCCTTAGATGGAGGGATGAGACCAAGGAGGAATCTGGGAAGTTGGAATACAGCCCCGGGGGACAGTGAGGGAACAGAAAAGGAGCACGTGGTAACAGGAGACTGGGCTGGGTGCCGGGCCTATGGGAGAAAAGGGCACAGAGGTGACCTGGACTTAGTGCTGTGTGTGGGAAAAACCAAGAAACACACCTATGACCTAATCAGTATAAAACGGCAGTATTAATGAGGCCTCACACTAAGACGGCCAACCAGGGCTGTGACTTTACACTGAGAGACAGGAATGAGCAGAAGAAAGCACTCATGGCCCTCCCGAGCCAAATGGTCATGCAAGGGGAGGGGGGTCGTGGGGAGTGGGCACACCTCTACTGGAGGTGAGGGGACACCCAACTTCCTCAGCAGTCACATCCACATTCAACTCCCAAGAGGGTAAGACACCAACGGGGTGAAGATGCATTCATCCAAACAT